GGGGGGGGGGGGGGTCTGTTCTTTACCACCAGCACCACCAGTAAGAGACCACATAGTCCTCATTTTCAGAGTTAAGGAAAACTCCCTATCCATGCTCAGAAAAGGCTCCTTGGAGGTCAAAAGAGAGGGTGGGCATCAACCTCATAGTTAGTGATGTCAGTTGCCCATAAGTCTCTTGGCTAGAATTCATCATGGCTAAAAGATACACACACACATGGAAGGACCCTGAGAAATATTAAATACAGACTCAGAAACAGGGAAAGCAAGATGATTGGTCAAAGAAAACCAGAAGAAATAACCCATAAAAGTGACTGCAAACTACCATGAGGGCGTGACTTTTAAAAGTAGCAATACTCTTTCACCTAGAAATTATATTTCTGGGTATTTATCTTAAAAAATTTACATCCATGAAAATGTCCTATGGTTTCCTTATAATGTCATAAAGGAAATAAGTCTGAGAATGAAGAATTTGGTAAATTTTGTATGTTCACTTAATTTTACACAGCTTCTGAAGTGTTTATGAAGCTTATGTAGAACCAGGAAAAAATCGTTAAAAACGCAAAAAACAAAAAAGCACCCCAAACCAACAAGGATCCAAAATTGTTTGTACACTATGAGCACAACATTGTAAAATAAATATGCATGAGAAAATGTCTAAAGGAAAATAAGCTGAATGCTGAGTGCCTGTGTTAGGGTGAAGGAGTTTTTTTCTTTTATTGTCCTCATGTTTTATGAAGTGGTCAAAACTATTTTTACAGTGAACACAATTATCAGTTCAAAGGCTGAGTATCAAATAGGGACTGGCACTCTCATTTCAAAGTATTAAATAAAGTACCAAAACCCTCTTTTGTAATCATCATTTACAATCCCTTGCTCTTCTAAAGATCACATTTTGAGACTGTCAACCTCAAAGTTTATCAAATTGCTGGTAGGTATTCCTGACATTGAGGAGGGCATGACCACCCACTCCAGTATCCTTTACTGGGATTCCCATGGACAGAGGAGCCTAGCGGGGTACAGTCCGTGGGGTCACAAGTCAGACACGGCTGAAGCGACTTAGCATGCACTCACGCATTCCTGCCTTTATTTGTGTAGAAAAAAACATAACGGACATTCCGAATCCCTTCATTTTACAAATAAGAACTCTGAAGCCCAACTTCCCCAGATAGTAGCAGAACCAAAATATGAACCCAAGTCTACCAGGTTATCTACCAGTGATCTAACACCATTTATATAGTTCCACCCACATCCACCCACGAGTATTAACAGACTTGCCATTGCTACTGACTGTTGAACCCTGGCTTACTACCATTCTGGCTAGCTTGAGGGGTTGAGTCCTTTCTCTTCAGGTCGTGCTCGAGCTTTCCCTCTTCACCACCTGGGGGCCCGAAGAAGCCTCACCCGGTTTTCTCCCTGTTTAAGTCCCCCACTCTGAATCCCCAGCGCCCGAAGTGCCGCAGGACCCCGGCAGGGGGCGTTGTGACCCTGACTCCACGGCCCCTCCCCTGGCCAACCGTCGATTGGGCCGGCGCGTGACGTCACGCCGTTTTAGCCAAACAAATGGGTTTCGGGGCGAGCGTTGGGCTCCGCCGCGCCGCGCTGGGCGCTCGGTCTGTCTCAGCGGTGCGGAGCGAGCCAGGCCTCCCGCCGCCGCGGCTGTATAGGGGTGTGCAGCCCCGGGCCAGGCCCCGGCCGGGGCAGAAGCGCAGGTGGGTTCGGGCCGGGGTGGGGCGTGGTGCGAGAGCAGCGCGGTCGGGGTGGTCTGGGGCAGGGACTCGGTGGCCTGCACCTTGTCCAGGGACGGCCTGCGCCTGCACACGGGCCGGGCGCTGAGCGCCCCCGCGGGGCTCGGAGGGTCAGGCGGGCCGGCGGGCGGGAACGGGGTCCCGGGTCTGGGCTGAAGCCGAGGAGATCCGGGATAGGCCGTGAGGAGTTTCGGGATCGTCTCTCCCACCCCCGGGACTGGCGGCCGGTGAGGAAGTCGGGCCCTGGGTGGGGGTTGTTTTGCTCGGTCGCGCCCGCCAGGGCTCGGCCGCTCCGTCCTTCCCTGTCCCAGCGCAGGTGAGCTGGCGCCTGTCCTTAACCTTCTTTGGGGACCGGGCAGGACGGAGGCTCGGAGGCTTCTCTGGCCTCTGGGCTGGTGCAGGTCGACTGCGGTTCCGTCTCAGTCCGCGATGAAGTCACAGTGTTGTGGGTCCGCGTGTCTGTGACGTCAGGGGTTACGGGGAGATGAGCTGTGATGTCACTGCAGGCCCGGGTGGGAACCCTGGCGCGCAGAAGGGCCGGGAGGACCGGGAGGGGAAAAAAGAGAAGTTCAAGCTTCTGTCAACGCCTGGGGTCCCAGAGAATTTGAATCGAAAGTTGTTCAATATCAGCATTTTACCATTTTAATGTAGTAGTTGTCAAGTTCTTTAACTTCACTTCGAACAAGCATTGTTACACAGTTCAATATAAGACCCATTTGATTTAGGAAAATCTCAATCAGAAGGATTTTTTTTTTTCCGGTGGAGGTGGATGGTGGGTGTTTGATTTAAATGTTTTTCAGAAAGATTAACTCGTAGTTTGATAGCTTGTGATCGGAATTGCTGAAAAAGAACCAATTTGAGTGCTGATGATTTCCTTACTCTTTCTTGCTAGACAATTTTGAAATAATTTATCTCCCCATTTGCTTTTTTGTTGTTAAGAGAGTGGCCTGGAAGAGAGTGGCTTTTAAGTCAACTTTTTCTTTTGTAAAAAGGAAAGGAGGAGGTCTGAATTAACTCAATATTATTGTTAAATAATAATTAACTGGGGATTTAATTTATCCAGGTTGTCCCTACCCATGGATAATTGAGGGTTTCCTGCGGTTATAGCTCACCAAAAAGGCTTTTTCTTGTTTTCCTACCAAGACTGGGTGTAACAGTAAAATAACATATACCAGGAACTGCTTGCCTGGACAAGTAACTAAAATTTTGTCTGTAGTGCTTGCAAATATGAAATTACAGAATTTATAAAAATGCTTTCTCTGTAAATACTGCTTTTCTTCTGAAGCTTTCCAGAGACATCAGGCTAGAAGAGGAGCTAGACCTGCCGTTACTAGCTTCAAGTATTGCAGCATATCAGTACTTTTGCTTATCATTTCTTCCTCTCTATAAAGCCATTTAAATAGGATCTAGTTTGAGAGGTGGAGAAGGGAATGGCAACCCGCTCCAGTGTTCTTGCCTGGAGAATCCCAGGGATCGTGGAGCCTGGTGGGCTGCCGTCTGGGGGGTCCCACAGAGTGGGACACGACTGAAGCGACTTAGCAGCAGCAGCAGCAGTTTGAGAGGCGGATGGCTAAAATTGAAGCATAATTGCAATTTAGTGTCTTCAGCAGGAAGCTAGGAAGGGAGTCCTCAGTCCCTCTTCATTGACCTGGGCTTATTAGGGGTTTTCTGTTGTTAATACTTCCTTCTCTTATTTGCTCTTTAAAGGTGATTGAAAAGGTATTGTGTCTCTAGATTTTGCATCAACATGCTGGTGGAAGTTGTGCTGTGTTTCTATGTTTACGCAGAAAATGAAAGCAGAAATTTACCCTTGTTAATTGCTATTAGATTTGACTGGAAGTTTACAAAACAAGATGTTCTTGAAAATCTCATTTTAATACTCACCATACTTTGGACATTCTACAGTATTGTGTGTACTATTTGAAAATTACAATATACATATTTTAAAACATTAGGAATTGTGTGGTGACAGTGGTGAGGCTCTGAAGACATAATTTGGTTTTTTGGATCCTCAAGACTGATAAGCACCAAGTTAACAACGAAATTGCTAATTTTGAGGGTATTAACCAAGCTACATTTTAAAATGGAAGGATCATGACAAGATATTATGTAATGGAGTTGAAGGAGGTACAAAAAGGACACTTTAATGTATCTTTTCCAATGAACCTTTCTAGGGGAGGCCACATGGATGTGTGCAAATTAAATGTACTGGTGTACCTGGGAAGGGGTGAAAGTCAAACTGTGTGTAAGTTGAAAGACACATAAATGATGATAATAAAATAGCTTCTCCTTGGCAGTGCATTCCCCCACCAACCCATTGTGTTTAGCAGTTTAATGATTTTTTTTTTATGGAAAATGAGTTGATAGGTAGTGAATAAAGGTCTTCATGTATTCTGATATGACTGAGAGACAATGAAAAGTATTAAAAAAAAAGCTTTGAATAGTTGTATAACTAAACCAGCCATAACACGTAAACATTTTTACAGTTTGTTTCTACTTTGGGCAGGTTATTTTTCACCCAGGCCTTGCAGTTCTGGACTCAGAAGCAGTTTTTACTTCTTATAAATGGAAATTTATTTGAGATCAGTATTATTTTGTTATTTTATCCAGTTGCTGTATTTAAGGGACGAAGTTAGCCAATCATTAGTGTCACAGCATCTTTCTGACAGATAAAAGCAAATACAAACAATAAAAGTACTAGAAGTTCTTTAGGATATGTTTATTGTATCAATTATTCTATTAACACATAGAATTAAAATTCTTATACACATTTTTAACTTCATTTTCTAATAAATTTATGCTCAGCCACTTTAATTTGTGCAATTTTGATACTCTAGTAACCCTTAATCTATTTTCATACTTGTTGGGGAGAGAACATACTAATGGTTAGAGACATCATTCAGTGTTATCTTCCAAAATTTGCAGCTGTTTAGAACCAGACACTTGAGAGAAGCTACTATGGTAGAATGAATGCCTTCCTTGTTAGGTCATGTGTGACAAAGGCAAAATTCAGCAAGTGCATAATCTGCAGTCCTTTGGAAGCAACAATAACAAAAAAGAGCAAATGAACTCCAAATGCATTTAGGTCATTGGAAATTGAATTCCTGTCAATTCTTACCCATACATAATTTATTCCCCGCCCCCCCCCCCCTTTAGTTCATCTTTATGGTACTTTGAAGCTGATGAACATACTGTATTATCTGGAGAAAGCATTCATGATTTATTTATTTGTTTGTTTTTTTCATTAATGATTTAAATGTAGGTGTTTCTTAAAGTCAGTTGAAAGAGTTTGTCACCTTTTTGTTTCTGGGTCCATCTTCTAGTTTGCTTTCCACAGAAGAGGCTCCAGAAGTAAATGTTCAGCTCTGGAAACAGCACAAACATTTTTCAACCCTCAACACAGTGTAGATTTAAATGTGAAACTAAACTCTATTTATTCATCATGTTGTTATCAAGCATGGGTTTTACGCATACAGCAAGCATGTTTGGGTACTCTCTGCCAGGTCCTCAGCCAGGGACTGTGTGACCTTTGTTGTAACATTCTGTTGGTGTGGAGGCCCGTGAGTCTGAAGGGCAAGAATTGGGCCAAAAGGATGAACCATTTATGGTATGCAGATTGGTCACAGGTTTAGTGTAAAGGTCAGTCAAGGAGGTATTAGAAACTCAGGTAAAAAGAATGAGAAACAGATTATTTTATCCCACGACAGACAAAGGGGTTAGGCTCCACAGATTTGGATTGTTCTAGAATGAAGGGAGCTTAGTGAGTGTGCATTTTCTTTCAGGCAACAAGTACTCAAGACCAGAACTAGCCTGTGTAGTCAGTGTAAGACTAGAGATAGAGCTAGAGAGAAGGGGAATAATCTAGACATCCCTCTAGAGGAATGTATATACCTTCCTTTTCTTCTTAAGATCAGTCCTTTAACTGTCTAAGTTCTGAAATAATGTGAGCTTCTCACAGCCTCATTTCCACCCTGCTTTTTTCCCCCTATCATTTTATCATGAAAATTTCAGTCACAGAAAAGTTGCAAGAATTGTTTATACATTGAATACCTAAATATCCACAACCTAGATTGTGTAATTCTTATTTTGCTATATTTACTTTGTCTGTCTGTCCATCCTGACCTCTCTGTCAATGTATTTTATCAATCCATCTTATGTTTTGGTTGTATTTCAGAGTAAGTATACTTTACCCTTCACTTGAGCATTCCTATCATGAACTATTTATTTATTTTGTAAATAAACAAATAGTTTAACTTGTCCCTTAGTTTGAACAAGTTCATGCATCTCTTTAACCCATAACCCTGTCAGGATATAGAACATCACTATCCCTACAGAAAGTTTCTTTGTGCACCTTCCAAGTCAATTTAGGTAAAATTTTAGTCTCCTGCAATCTTAACTCCACCCTTCTGAAACTGCCTGTTGAAAGGGCCTGTCTGTTAGCAGTGAATGTGGCATTATGCTGGGGATTCAGAATATAAAGAAATGAAGAACACAGCCCCTGCTCTAGTTAAGCTTATCATTTAGTTTGGATTTTACTTTGGTGTCTGATAAATAAATGTTACATGAATTCAGAAGAGGCAACTTTGACTGCTGTGAAAGCTTCTTAGGTGTGGGTCTTGGGTTGGACTTCTAGGACCTAAAAAAGAGATTTTTTTTTTTTTAAAGACTGAATAAAAGTTGTGATACTAAAAAAAAAAAGGACTTCCTTGGTGGTCCAGTGGTTAAGAATCTGCCTACTAATGCATGGGTTCAGTTGCTGGTCTGAGAAGATTCCACATGCGGGGCAGCAAAGCCCCAACTACTGAAGCCTGAGCTCCTGGAACCTGCGCTCTGTATCAAGAGCAGCCACTGCAGTGGGAAGTGCAGCGCTCGCCACAACCCGAGAAAGCCCACCTGCAGCAGCGGGGACCCAGGACAGCCATAAGGAAAGGAAACAGAAATACATGGTATAAAGGCACTGTAGC